TTCAAGGTCGCATAGATAAAATTTCGGGCGCATATGCGACCAAAATGGTCGCAATTTCGAGCCCTGCCATATTATTCCTACTATTATTATATTATACAACTTTTATTCCTATACTACTACTATAAGTCAGTCGATGGTTGCAGCTTTCTTCAAAATATCTTCTTTTGTGTTCAACAGCAGAAAGAAACTCAGTTTGGAAACACTTGAGGGAGAGTAAATAGTGAGTAAAAATTCATCTTTTTGGTTGAATTATCCCTTTAAACGGCACTGATTGGCCATCATGTTCACATACTCAACAGATATGACTGTGATGGCCATGATGGTGATCAGTTTCACTGCAGATTGGTACTTTTGACAACCCTAATCTCAACAAACACCAATGAAAACGGCAAATGAACAAACCAAATGCAAGAGTAAAGGGATTGCTCACTCAAAAGAAAACTCTGTCATGGTTTTGTCATCTTCAATCAGCCCAAAACTCGTATGATTTCCTCCTATTGAACACACACTCTCATCAGTCAGAATCATTATGTGTACTGTAGGTATGGGCCGTTTACTACTTAAAAGATAAAGCTGATGTGCATTAGTTTATTAGATATCAGACAAATATACCAGAGTCACTCAATGCACTTGATTAAAAAAAAAAACTTCTGTTTAAGAATCGGTGTATAATAATTTTTACAGCTAAACAGATAGTTCTTTCAAAAGTGAAATTTTTTTCATCATTTACTCATCACAAACCTGTTTAAGTTTCTTTTGTTGAACACAAAAGAAGATATTTTGAGGAATGTTGGAAACCTGTAACCATTGACTTCCATAGTAAGAAAACAAATACTGTAGAAGTCAATGGTTACAGGTTTCAACATTCTTCAGTGTCTTCTTTTTTTGTTCAACAGAATGAAAAAAATAAAGGTTTAGAACCAGTAATGGATGAGTAAATGATGACAGAAATTTTGATAGATAACTTTTCTGATAGATCGCTTTTCTTCCGCTATCAGTATGAAGCATTGTTTCTAAAGTAGCTTCCTGAGCTTGCTGACACCTCCGACAGAGGTTAGATGCAAGGACAGATGCTCCACAATCAGCTAAAATGTTGGTGACGTAGTGAGCAATATGTTTTACCAAAGATTGAGGTTGACATACTGCGCGATATGTCAATATATTGATAATTGCGACAGCCCTAATATAATTTTACTTGAACAAATTGATATTGATTCTGAAATCCCACATCATGAACAATAAAATGAAAAGCAAACCATTTCAGTTGTGTTATTTGTATCACAGCTAGGTCCTCGAGGAATCAAGGAATTCGCTGATTTTTCTCAGCCCATCATTCAATCTGTTTAATAAATCATGTAAATACAGTTTTTATATTAATTGCAGTAATATTATTGAACATTTAAATTGGTTAAGTACAGTACGGTTTGTAAAGTAATATAGTTTGTCTTTTAGTAGATCTATTATACGAGACTTACTTTGTTTATCTTTGAAAGTGCAAAAAGTGGTTCTAATTGGATTTGAATTGTAAACCTTGAATAAAAGTCGAAAGGTTACGTATTTTTAGTTCAAAAAATACACCCAAAATAATTCCACATAAATCTGCAGATTTTCTACAAATTACTGCACTGAAATTTCCGCAGAAGCTGTCTGGCCCTGTTAATTACAAACAGTGTATGTAATAATAGTATGTAAATGAGCAGCTTTAACATTCTTCAAAACATCCTCTCTGGTTTTCTATGAAAGTAGGAACTCATACAGGATTGGAGCTGATGACAGAATTGTAATGTCTGTGATCTATTCCTTTAAACAAAACGGCTGAGTGTTGATTTGGTGTTTGATCTGATCAGACTGAGCCAGAAAACTGCATCTGGACCAAACACTTCATGCTCTATGTTAAGTATAGATACATGTGTGTGTGCTGCAGAAAAAAAAAAAGAGTGTGTGTGTGATATTTGTTCAATCAGACTCACTTTAGTGGATACTGGGTGATGTTGAGTTATCAGTATTTATTCATAGTAAAACAAAAACTGCATATAAATAAAAATGTTTAGTCAAACCCTCCATCACCCAGTGTCTGTCTGTCCGTCTATCTGTCTGTCGGTCAGTCCGTCTGCGGCTCCACTGGACTCCACCGCCGGACTGACCTATAATGAAAGCCGATAATCAGCCAATCAGCTTGCTCGGAAACCTGTCAGCTGCTCTAGTGCTTTGGTCTTTGTTTTGTTTGTTGCTCGTGCGGGTACTGGAAAACAATGAGTCTGTAGTGCAGGAGGAGCACATCTGTTTTTGCCAGAGAACGGTTGAAATGTGCCCGGCTTGTGTGTGCATTGCTGAAACTAATGTCAACAACAGCGGCCTGTCACGATCATTACATCTGTGCTGACATTTTGGGCTGATTAACTGGGAAAATGGTTACAAAATTGACAAAATACGACTTCATTTAAATTAACGCGTATAATGTAATATAATTAGTGCTGGGTAATTCAAAACAGGGATTTAGTTTCTAATTAATAATCGCATAATTAAAACTGTACTTCTATAATATTTTAAAATATTACTTGTCTTATAACTTTGTCTAAAAAGGGTATTTAATTACTTGACTCATTGCTAAAAATCAAAAATACGAAAAAAACTTATTTCAATGTGTTTGCAATGGGAAAAAAAAAACTCTTTATATTTGAATCAAACAGGGCTTTTTAGCTTTATATAGCATGAATTAATACTTTAGGAAATGTAAAACAATATTTATTAAAACACGAAATGTTTCAAATTAATATTTGACATATATTATCATACATTTATTTGAATCATCAGACAATTGTAACCTCCTTTAATTGTAAAATCAAGTAAATAAACAACCAATATAAAGACCAAAAATATAGATATAAATTTACTGTGCTTCTCTGAATGTATACCATGTTTTGTCATGAACTTAAGCATGTTTTATTGTCTTAAAAATGTAAACTTCTTTAAAAAATAGAATTATTCTGCAAAAATAAAGCATTTGTAAAGCAATAAACGATTTTTCTGCTTCTCTGACTTGATTTATACAGAACTGTTGAATTTATTAACAGTATTGAGGGCAGTGGTGTCCAAACTCGGTCCTGGAGGGCCAGTGTCCGGGAGAGTTTAGCTCCAACCCTAATCAAACACTGCTAAACCAGCTAATCAAGCTCTTACTAGACAAACTGAAAACCACCTGGCAGGTGTGTTGAAGAAAGTTATAGCTAAACTCAGCAGGACACTGGCCCTCCAGGACGGAGTTTGGATACCCCTAATTTAAGGCAAGTGTATTACACTAAAAGTAACTAATTAAATCATCTAAAGTCCCTTGCTTGACTTTTTTTCACTGAACCTAATTACTGCAACTCTTTATTTTACCTCAATACACCCAACACTGAATATAATATGGTATATTAAAACCTACATTTCATATTTTGAACCCTGATAACCTGGAAATATTTATAAAGAGTTACGTAGGAAGACTTAAATACATGATGTGGAGGCAAAGAACACTGTAAACACTGCGTGCTGGGTTCCACACAATTCCTTCATGTTGCCCCAACACAATTCGATTAAGTTAACTTGAATGTTCTTACAAATTTAGGTTGATTGAAGATAAAACAATTAAGTTGTCACACAAAAAAAAAAATCACAAGAATTGTGTTGATTCAGCTTATTTTAAATAGGTAGTTTGAACAAGAAGTGAAATATTTCTTGAGTGAATTTCTCATTGCGACGCAGTTGCTATTGTTACTTCTAACGTTTGGGGGAATCACATTTATTTTGAACCATTATCCAAACCACCTGCACATTTAAACTAATTTAATGTGCACCATCCAGCCAATCAGAATCAAGAAGTTCAAAAGACTGTGTCTTCACAGAGATAAACAAAGAAACCTGTATACTCTTCCCAGAAGTTACTTGATTATTATTGACAAACCACTACAAATGCTAAAATTCACTTTATTGTGTGATATAACTAAAAATCGGTCACAAACAAATATTTTCATATTCAAACGAGTAGCGGCTTGGACCCGAAAACAGTATTCCATATATCATGACTTAACAAGCAGGTTGATATTAAGCTGACCAGTTCTTCTCACAGATGCACAAAAAAGGCATTAAGATTGGTAGAAATATACACAGCACCCTTCGGTGGATTTACGAGACATGTTAGATAACAAACTGCAAAAAAAACTTAGCCCAGGGTATATATTTCTCGTTCTCAAAAATGTAGCCCTGGGCACATATCTCCAATGAGCCTGGGTTGTGATTAGCTCTTTTAAAGTTAAAAGTAAAGTCGTTCCGCTCGATGGAAACTATTCTGAACTTTGGAGTCAACTCTCGATTCTCAACACCTCGCAATTGAATCTTTTTGGAACCGACTTTATATGCATCACAACAAAAATAGACGAGAAAATAAACATACACACTGCAGAAGAGTACTAGTGAAGCTGGGCTAATAATAATGATGAGATTTGGTTTAGTAAATGACACGTGATGGTAATGATGATGATGATGATGTGTCTGCATTAAAGGAACAGTTCATGCATAAATTAACGTTTGTGGAAAATAGTACAACACTTATGGATTTCTTTCTTCTGTTGAACAGTAAACAAGATATGCTGAGGGCATTAGAAACAAGTGATGTCCGTAGTACGAATAAAAAAACACCATAGAAGTCAGCGACTGTTTTTCTTATTTCAACATTTGTCAAATATCTTCCTTTGCGTTCAGCAGAAGAAAGAAACTCAAATAGATTTTGAACAATTGTTGAGTACATTTGGTGAACTCTGCCTTTAACGCGTGCGAGTGTTAGTCTGGAATAAGGCAGTGTTGAGTTTTTTGTGCTGCTGGGTCGGCTGCTTTAAGCATGGTTTGCTGCGGTGGCGAATGCTCTGGGAAGAAGAGCTGACGGTGTGTGTGTGTGTGTTCATCTGTCTGTCTGCTGCTTCATCTCTAAAGCGCAGCGCTAACACTCTTCTTCTGCTCCTTAGGAGGACGCGTCAAAACCTGGAAGAGGCGCTGGTTTATTCTCACTGATAACTGCCTTTACTACTTTGAGTACACTACTGTAAGTACTAAAAATATGACAGCAGAGGGTGCACTTTCAAAAGTGCTGGGTTATATTTAACACAATTCTAAGTGTGATGCGGACTAAACCAACCGCTGTGTTGTTTTTGTTTTTGAATTATATTAATAGTAGCTAATTTAACCCAAGGTTAAGGTTAGTCCATATTTAAGCCAGTTTGGGTTCAAATAACCCATTGTTTTTTAAAAGGTGGAGATTTAGGGTGCTTTCACACCTACGCTTTTGTTTCAGACCTGTCTCGTTTGCCCAGTTAGCGCGGTTCGTTTGGCATATGTGAATCCACCAATTGCGCTACGATCTGCGCCAAAACAATCTCGGCTTGATTGAAACGAACTCTGGAGCGGATTGATTGAAGTGAGAAAGCGATACGATCCAAGCCCGGTTATATCACAGTGTATTACGGATATGTAATATGCATACGGCTATATGAAGAGAGAATTATGAGGAGGGCGTGAGGTCATTACAGACATCCCAAGTCCCCCGGAAGTTTCTGGAGTCTCTCGTAAAGCACAGAGACTCCCGGATGCCCGCAAACGAGTGATAATCTCCCGGAAATCGCACGTCTCCCTCCCGGTCCTCAAATACGTTGCGCACCCTTTTCACCACATCCCTCCTCGCTCTTCAGACACGTCGCGCGCTCCTTGTCAAACACCATCAAACCACCACCACCCCCTGACAGCTGAGCGGGACTCTGCAAAATAAACCCTGACACTCTGACCAATGTGAGGAGAGTTTACTCACACCTGACTTGTTTTAGCTCTGTTGGTCCATTTAGAAATGTTGCCGTGTGAAAGCCAACCGCACCAAGAGCAACAATGTAGCAATAGTAAGCTCTGTTTCGGAACAACTGACTCAATTCACAGGTGTGAGAGCACCCTTAGTTATGCTGTTTATCCACTTGTCAAATGTTTGGTGTTAGTAAAGACTTTTTTTTTGTTTTTATTTTCAAAAATTGATCAATTTAACTAGGACGCCTTCACTCAGGAATGCCCGAAACTGTTTTAGAAAGGAGGTTAATGATCTGTTTAACGCGAGAGATGATATTTTGAAGAAAGCTGAAAACCATTGACTTCCATAGTATGAAAAGTGAAGACTATGGCAGGTAATGGTTATCTTTCAAAACGTCTTCTTTTGTGAAGAAAGGTTTTAAACAAGTAAAGGGTTAGACAACAGCCTCTTTCACGCAGTGATACCGGTAAATATCTGGAAAATTTACTGAACGACTTTACTGGTTAATTAAAAAAAGATCCGTTCACACAGGCAAGAACGTTCCGGAATTTTTTCCGGAAAAGACCGTTCACACATCTATTCCAAAATACCGCTGAATTCTGACATCATTAACCAGAGATGACCTTTAAACGGCTGCGCTTGTATTTGTAAACATTTGACTACATTACAAACTCTGTGGATGGAGAAGTATTGTGAACAACTTTGATGAAAATATAGAGGAACTCTTCTGCATGTCGAGATGTACATGAGATGTGTTTCACAGGCACACGCGACTCGTCAAGCAACTGAAGGAAGCAGAGTTTGAAAGTAAACAAACAATGGCTTACCATAAGCATCTTATCGACAATTATTTACACAGTTGGCATTAAGAAGGAACATAGAAACGTTATCTGACTAACATCTAGCAGCTAAATGTGTCTGGAAAAATATTCAAAGATTTTCATAAACCACGCAGATGTGAATGCGTCTGACTATTCTGATTGGCTTAAGTAGACGTGCACGCGTTCTTTCCGGCAATCTTCCTTCTGTGTTCACACAGCGCAGCATTTTGGCAGATTACCGGTAATGTTACAACTCCTCTTTCCAGAAAATAGCCAGAACGAAAATTGCCGGTAATTTTTTTTGGAAAGGTCTGTATGTGTGAAAGGGGCTAATAATGACATTTTCCTTTTTGGGTGCGCTTTCCCTTTAAGGTGAAATCACTGATGAAATGAGAGAAACTCTGACTTTTTTAATTTCAGAATTTTAGATATGTCAAACACAAGAAAGTAGAATAAGTTAGCCTGTTTCTAAAAGGGAGTTAACTGTAACTAATCTTTATACGCAACATTTTTTAGCCAAAAATTGGATATTTATGTGGTTTGCCTGTTCATTAACACGGCAACTTTTTCGGTCAAAAACGGTTGCTGTTGCCTGTTCATTTACACAAACATGGTATTTTTGGGATCTTTAAAACATGCATAAATCACTGTGCCATTTTCAGGTCAGTGGAAACATCCCTTTTACACCAAAAACAAAAATACAGAATGTCTTGTTTTTGGTACTTTTTATGTTTATACCGAAAATGAGAAACTTCCACTGTTACAAGAGAACATCTGGGCCTTTCACCGATTGTTCTTAGGAAATCGTAATGTCTTGGTATATACAGTTGAAGTCAAGAATTATTAGCCCCCTCTGAATTATCAGCCCCCTGTTTATTTTTTTCCCCAATTTCTGTTTAACGCAGGGTTTTTTTTCAACCCATTTCTAAACATTTTTTTATTACTAATTTATAATAGCTGATTTATTTTATCTTTGTAAAAATATAGCTTAAGGGGGCTATTAATATTGACCTTAAAATGATTAAAATAAAAATAATAAAATAAAAAATGCTTTAATTGTAGCTGAAATAAAACAAACTAGACTTTCTCTATAAGAAAAAATATTGGAAATACTGTGAAAATTTCTTGCTGTCAAACATCATTCAGGAAATATTTTTTTAAATAAAAATAAAAATAAAATATAAAAAAAACTACAGCAGGGAAAATAATTTTTGACCGCAACTGTATATATTTTTAGATGGGATTTGTACTGATGCTCAAAGATAAGCGTGTCTGTTTTCATGCAGGATAAAGAGCCACGAGGAATCATCCCTCTTGAAAACCTCAGCATTCGTGAAGTAGAGGACAAGAAGCCAGTAAGACAGCCTTTTTTTACTGTTTGTTTTTCCTGCATAAACCCCAGAAGTAGATCTTTTCTCTGTCTTTTCCGGATTATCTATCAGTTTAGTGATTTATGTGACTTAATCAGCTGAAGAATCAGTCTCTATGTATGGCTTTTGAGCTCTTGTGTTGCACAGGAATATAGTTTTGGCAATAACCGAAAGGTTAATATGATGGTTTTATGGAAGAAATCATTTGAATATTAGGTAAAGATGATGTTCCATTAATATATTTTAGAAATATCCTACTGTATATATGACAAAACTCAATTTTTGATTAGTACTGTTGTTACGTCCTTTTAGATGTTAATGTTAAACTAAGAGTATGTGACATAACATACGATAGTTTAGTGTGTTTGACAAGAGGATGGAGAAGGAAATGACTTGAAAACCAAATATCGCTGCCATTATTTATACCTCCAGTGAAAATATATGATAAAGTGAAAGAAAAATATTTCCAATAAATAAATGATAAATTACCTGGGGTAGAGGAGGTAGTTAAAAGTTCTTAAATCAAAGAAATAAATATAACAAAACCCACTAACTGTATTCAACAAACGAAACTAAATATGAAAAGAAAAATCTTCCACGTACCAAACGTCTTAACTAAACTATTCTAACTAAAAACAAAACATGCACAAAGCAGCACATTCTCCTGAACCTAATGAACTAATACAAAGATGAATCTGTGTCGTGTGTGTGTATATATATATATATGTATGTATATGTATATATATGTATATGTGTGTGTATATATATATATATATATATATATATATATATATATGTGTGTGTATATATGCTATATATATATATATATATGTATGTGTGTGTATATATATATATGTGTATACATATGTATATAGACTAGCCCTTCTCCTAGCAAACCATCTATCAATGGAAGGCTTCTTCTCTGTTAACACTGTTTTTGGCCAAATAGATAGAACTTTTTTGTAGGTTCATTCAAAAGTATTTGTATAAATCTTTTTTTTTTTTTTAAGGTATTTTGAGAATGAATGGCCCTAAACACATCTTATTTTTCTCCACTTAAGTATGGGGTCAAATAGATCCCGAAAATAGCATTGAGATTAAAATAAACTGTAACTAAATGTAATGCCCTATTAAACAGTATTGTTTTGCAGCGTCAGACTGTCAAACTCTGTCTCCTCCTGCTGGTCAGTGGTGTAATCAAATGTGTGTGTGTTTGTCAGAACTGCTTCGAGCTCTTCATTCCTGACAATAAGGATCAGGTGATCAAGGCCTGTAAGACGGAGGCGGACGGACGCGTCGTCGAGGGAAACCACACATTCTACCGCATCTCTGCTCCCACCACTGAGGAGAAAGACGAGTGGATGAACAGCATTAAGTGAGTGTCGAGCAGCTCCACACTGACAGCTGTGCATAAACCTTTGTGTAACGCCACTTTTCCTTAATGAACAAACATAGTTCTCTTCATCCTAGCAACATAAGAGTTCATTACTTCTTTTTAAATGATCTATCTTTTCAAAAAATGCGCCGGGTCTGGGTGTACACTTGCTGTGAATATGTGTGATGCTTGAGGACTTTAATGTTTGCAAACTGTTAGCTATGCATATCCTCTGTTAGAATCACGAAAGGGAAAGTAGTGTTGGGGATGTTCATTTGTATATTTAGGGACCGAGCACCTGTGTTGGCCCTATTGGAATTGCTCCGTTTATTATTATTCCGCTTCTTCTTAATCTTGTTTTCCGGAATGAATCATGATTTTGAGGGTCTAAACATGCCCGAAAACCCACGAAACTTTGCACACGCCCCAGAATTGGCGAAAAATTTATGTTTGTTATAGGTTTCGGAAGTGGGCGTGGCAAAATGACTCTACAGCGCCACTTATGCATATTTGATGAACTGGCCCCTGAGCTACGGATCACGCACAAGCATGAAAATTGGCACACACGTCTAACACGCCAAAACCTACGAAAAAGTCTCTTGGAGCGAAATCTCAAACCTAACAGGAAGTCAGATATTTTTAACTTCCTGCGCCGAAAAAGTGGCTTTTTTGTGCTTTTTCAGGCGTTGTATTTTAACAAACTCCTCCTTGAAATTTTATGCGATCAGCACCAAAATTGGGTTTTATCATTTAAATCCTTTGACGACGTTAAATTGCGAAGATCTAGAGTTTTCGTCGATGGGCGTGTCCCTGGCGGCCTCTCAAACTTTGACGATTCGCCACGAAACAGGAAGTTGTTAAATCTCAGGCATGCATTATCCGATCTGCCTCAAAATACACACGCTTGCTAACAGTCCTGACCTGAACACGTTTGCATGCCAATATCTAGTGACAGTTATAGCGCCACCTGCTGGCAACAGGAAATGACATGTTTTACTGAGTAACAAACTCCTCCCACAAACTTTATCGTATCAGCACCAAATTTGGGTGGTGTTATCTGAAAGCTTAAGCGATAATATTGTGAAGATCTAGAGTTTTCGCTGAAGGGCGTGTCCAAGGCGGCCTGACGAACCGCAGTGCTTTGCCATGGAGCAGGAAGTACTTATAACTCAACCACACAATGTCCGATCTGCCTGAAACTTCACATGTTTGATCACATTCCTCTTCTGAAGACATCTACATGCCAATATTGAGTCAGTCATAGCGCCACCTGCTAACAGAAGTAATTTTGGCTTATAACTCAGCAACACAATGTCTGACCTGCCTGAAAATGCACATATACGATAAGATTCCTCTTCTGAAAACATCTACATGTCAATCTTGAGTCAGTCATAGCGCCACCTGCTGACTGAAGGAAGTTTGGCATAAATCTGTGATTTAACTCAGGTTTTTTTATATATATTAGCTTAAATTAATATTTTTCGCTCTTCTCTGTCATCCTGAAGCCACCGGGAGGCGGCAAGCCTGGGTGCAAGATCCCTTTCGTCATTTAATTATTTTTTTTTTCTGTTTTTTGCAAATGTATAAAAATCTACATTAAAAACAAATCTACATTAAAAAAAATCCTTATAAATAAAGTATTTATATATATATATATATATATATATATATATATATATATATATATATAGAAACAGTACCTTAAAAGTCACATTTCGTCTTCAGTTTTGGGCTCAGGTGCGCTATGCACTTTCACTACAAGTGTACCGCGCCTGAACCCAAGTGAACTGTGCTGTGGCACACTTCTTCCAAGTGGACCAGGGCTGGCCAACTGAATCGTGCCTGAGCCCAATTTGGAGCACTCACACTTTTCAAACGATCTGGGAAATAGGCCTGAGCATGGTTTGGATAGCATAATGCGAGTGCGCCCTTAGAAGAGACTCCATATGTTGGGAAACACTGCTCTAATGAATGTTACGTGTCTTATTTTATCCTCTAACCTTCTTTGTTTCTGTGTTCAGAGCGGCCATCAGTCGAGATCCTTTCTACGAGATGCTGGCGGCCAGGAAGAAGAAGGTGTCATCGATGAAGAGACACTAGAACAGCTGCTGAACGACTGAGACGAGTAGAGACAGAGAGAGAAACACAAGATCAGAGACTCTTGACAGCTCTCCTCAAGAGTGTGCGTGTGTGTTTGTGTGTGTGTGTGTGTGAAGGGAGCCAGTTGGCGTTTCCTTGCGACTGCTTCCTTGAAAGCCCCAAAGAGAACATTTACTCCTCATGCTTAACCAAATCTGCTCTTTCTTTCTTCCCGTTTCTCTCTGTGTTCATTATCTGAAATCAGCAGGTCTGACAGAATGTGGAAACCAAAACGAAAGCAAAGGACGATTTCCGTTCGTGCTTTGATATGTACAGGCAATAAGTGTATTTTTACATCCTTTTTTATTTTTAAAGATGCAGCTTCGCGCTCAGAGGTTTATTTGTGTGTTTAATTGTAAAAACAGACTTCTGTGAGTTGTAATAGAACAAAAAAAGAAAGACTTCTGCAGAGGGGATCTTTTTGTTGGTGTTTGTGTTTGTTTTCTAGGCATCCTGAAGCGCGACGAATTGAATATTGACAGACGTTCTGCTCAATAAGGATTATGGGATGTCATGGTCAAGCACTGGTACTACCTCTCAGACGGACAGAGCAGAGATTAACAGATGGTGATGTTTTTATTTGATAAGAGGTCAGTGTTAAGGCCTCTGAATGAAACGCTGTTCATACGACGAATAAATGTGCCTAACAGTCACTCAGTGTCCGTAAAGGCTGACCTCACGCCGCGTCTACACTCAAAACAACACATCCAATTATAATCAGGCAGTCGGTTTACACTGGACACAAAACGGATGTACATCGCAACCCATTTCTGTAACAGGATAGCGTAAATAAACAAAGCTGTGGTTCTTAAACCTGTTCCTGAAGGCACAACTCACACGTTTTCAACCACATCTAAATCAACTCAGCAGAACATAAGAAGACACTCCAAAACCTGAAGTTAATGGGTCAGATAAGGGAGACATCCGAAATATGTACTGTTGGTTGTGTTCCTCCAGGAACAGGGTTGTGAAACACAGAAATAAAGGTCACTGTTGCTGAATTGTGTGAACACAGGCGTGATTGTGATTTATTTTGGAATCTGTGGCAGAAATGAGCTTAAATCTGTAGTCGCTTGTTTCTGCTACTGGAGAGAAAGGTAACTGCGTTCACACCGAAGGCGGTGAAAGCGTCAAAGGTCGCTCTGGCCGCCCTGGCGACAATGCTGTCTGCCTTAAGCTCTGGCAGCGAGAGCGTCTAAATTCGCTACAGTGATCTTGTATTTAAAGCGGCTGTTGCAGCATATATCAGTTACATTCCCACATTAAACATGCTTTCTAGCGTAAAAATGTTGCGCACTTCTAATTAAATTCATTTAACAATGGAAGATCAAGTTGCATGTGGTGTGGCTTTGCTCCACTTAATTATCTAATTTGGCCATATGTCTGAAATATCCCGAAGCAGTAATACTGTTCAGCTCTCCTTGTACTACAGGAACCAATCAGCGATCGCTATATGGCGAGTAAAGCCCGCCTTCTAGTACAGGACCCAATTAGCAATCGCTATCTGTTGAATAAAGCCCGCTTTCTACTACAGGAACCAATCAGCAATCGCTATATGGCGAATAAAGCTCTCCATCTACTACAGGAGCCAATCAGCGATCGCTAAATGGCAAATAAAGCTCTCCTTCGAGTACAGGAGCCAATCAGCGATCGCTAAATGGCAAATAAAGCTCTCCTTCGAGTACAGGAGCCAATCAGCGATTGATATATTGCAAATAAAGCCCGCCTTCTAGTACAGGAGCCAATCAAAGATCGCTATATTGCAAATAAAGCCCGTCTTCTAGTACAGGAGCCAATCAAAGATCGCTATATTGCAAATAAAGCCCGTCTTCTAGTACAGGAGCCTATCAGCAATCGCTAAATGGCGAATAAAGCCCGCCTTCTAGTACAGGAGCCAATCAGCGATTGCTATATGGCGAATAAAGCCCGCCTTCTAGTACAGGAGCCAATCAGTGATCGCTAAATGGCAAATAAAGCTCTCCTTCGAGTACAGGAGCCAATCAGCGATTGATATTTGGCAAATAAAGCCCGCTTTCTAGTATAGGAGCCAATCAAAGATCGCTATATTGCAAATAAAGCTCTCCTTCGAGTACAGGAGCCAATCAGCAATTGATATATGGCAAATAAAGCCCGCCTTCTAGTACAGGAGCCAATCAAAGATCGCTATATTGCAAATAAAGCACGCCTTCCAGTATAGTAGCCTATCAGCAATCGCTAAATGGCGATAAAAGCCCGCCTTCTAGTACAGGAGCCAATCAGCAATCGCTAAATGGCGAATAAAGCCCGCCTTCTAGTACAGAAGCCAATCAGCGATTCCTATAGAATGACAACTGGAGCTTGGACCAGACGTGAGTTTCTGCAGATTTCGTGTGATACGAACATTATGAAATGAAGCTAAATATACAGCTGCTGTTTAATTTTATTGATTATTCCTAATATGAAATGTAATCGTCAGCTTGGCAGGTAGTTTTGGAGAATTTGATGTTTCCCCATTAAAACATACTACTCGAGAGGACGCCGAGTGAAATTACTTGCCTTAAAGGGACTTTGATGCATTTCTAGCTAAACATACATAGTACAAACAAAATCATTATGTAGATCAAAACTTTTATTTTGTATTCGATAAATCATGATTGTTTAAAAAGTGCTACTTTGAAGCGCTACCTTCGACATAAACAAACAGAAAATAAATGCCTCATTAGCATCTGTTTCCATAGGCTCATAATGCAAGTCATCCGCCATATTGGAACAGTCAAAGCCAGTCTGTGGTGTTTCTGAATGTACGTTGACCTGCAGCTGTATTTATGCACATGTATGATTACCTATATCTGCGATAGACTTAGGTAGATGATTTAGCCCAGGGGTGCCCAAACCTCGGTCCTGGAGGCCTGGTGTCCTACAGATTTTAGCTCCAATTTGCCTGCAAGGAAGTTTCTAGAAAGCCTGGTAAGAGCTTGATTAGCTTGCCCTGGTGTGTCCGATTGGGGTTGGAGCTAAAATCTGCAGAACACAGGACCTCCAGAACCGAGTTTGGCCACCCCTGGTTTAGCCCAATCACAATTCAAGACTTAATGTCTGTATCTCTAATACACTTCACACAAATTTAAAGCAAGTTGAGATCAAAAACAAAAAAAAACATCAACATGACAAAAATCGGTTAAACAATCTGTAATATTGAGTCGAAAAACACAACATTTTTGTGAGAGGTTCCTCCATTTTGTAGCATTTTAACTCTAAAGACCAACACATCTGCCTAGAGTTTTACAGTGAGTGATGGTGTGTTGACTGTCCCAAGATGGCCGATTATTCCACGTGTGTTACTGGTGTAGACGCGGTCAGTCAGTCCTCAGTGCCTGCTCACGTTTCTCCACTCGCTCTTTCTGTTGTCCCCTCATTTCTCGGGTTTCCATCAGTCTAGCAGTTATTCTACAAGCGAAATATTAAGGCGACGCAGTATTGGTTTAATTTATCAAAGATGTACATACTTTAGTGTATAGAGAATATTGGTTTCCATTTTATAAATGTGTGTAGTCGAGTGCCATTCTTTCATTATCCTTTTTATTAGTATTAATTTCCGGAGGTCGATGCCATTGTAGTGGTTGCCAGATCATGCTGAAATAAACATCTATTATAGCAGCTCTGCTTGTGTTTTTGATTTCTTAAAGGGGTGGTCCAGAGTGTTTTTAAGGCTTGGTCGTGTTTATGAGATGCAAAGCAATGTGTGCTCATGCTTCATTATCCTACTTTGATTATATACAGCTACTCAGCTAACATGAAAACGACTGTCATATTTCTTAGTTCCTCTAAAGACCAACGCACTGTACACTTGACCTACTAATATGTGCACACGCGAGCGTATTTAGAGGGTAAAATGTGAAAGGTCACAAGTGCTAAAAGGCAATGTATAGTAATAAACACTCACCGGCCACTTTATTAGGTACACCTGTCTGACTGCTTGTTAATGCAAATTTCTAATCAGGCAATCACATGGCAGCAACTCAATGCATTTAGGCATGTAGACGTGGTCAAGACGATCTTCTGCAGTTCAAACTGACCATCAGAACGGGGACGAAAGGTGTTTTAAGTGACTTTGAACGTGGCATGGTTGTTGATGCCAGAAAGGCTGGTCTGAGTATTTCAGAAACTGCTGATCTACTGGGGTTTTCACGCACAACCATCTCTAGGGTTAACAGAGAATGATGCGAAAAGAGAAAAAATCCAGTGAGCGGCAGTTCTGTGGGCGCAAATGCCTTGTTGATGTCAGAGGAGAATGGCCAGACTGGTTGGAGCTGATAGAAAGGCAACAGTAACTCAAATAAGCACTCGTTACAACAGGTCTGCAGAAGAGCATCTCTGAACACACAACATGTCCAACCTTGAGGCGGATGGGCTACAGCAGCAGAAGACCACACCAGGTGGCACAGTCCAAAGACGTGTGCTATAGGTGAACTGAATAAACTAAATTGCCCGTGGTGTATGTGTGTAAATGAGTGTGTATGGATGTTTCCTAGTACTGGGTTGCAGCTGGAAGGGCATCCGTTGTGTAAAATATGCTGGATAAGTTGGCGGTTCATTCCGCTGTGGCGACCCCTGATGAATAAAGGGGACTCAGCTGAAGAAAAAATGTTGATTTATCATCCTTATCATTGAGAAGTAATATTGGATATGTCACGCCAGGTAAAGTGAGACACTTTTTACATTTGCTCTCCTTTAAGTGAGCTAAAATTACATAGACTAAATGTAACTTGTGCCTTATGTCTCATTTTTTAGTTATTCAGGCTAATCTTCAGCTAGCATCATCACATGGTTTTATATGTTGATAGTTCATCAACATTTATAAGTTTTTCGGTCCCACTTTATATTAAGTGGCCCTAACTAATATGTATTTACACAGGAATTAATAGTTTGTTACTATGTACTTATTAAATACATGTATTTACTGTGTACTTATGCTTGATTAAATACAAGTATGTAATTACATCTGTAATTAACTATTGTTATTACATTTGTAAATACACTGTTGATCATCCCTTACACCTTAACCCACCTTTACATGCCACCAAACCTGTTCATAACCCAACCTCTATCTTAACTCAAAAGCACCACAAGTGTTCTCAAATACATCATAAACACAGTAAGTACATTGTATTTTTTTTTTTTTGATGCAAGTACATAGTAGTTAAAGACACTTAATATAAAGTGGGACCAGTTTTTCTCCTTGAATCATTTTGCTTTGGCACAATAGTTAAGTTGACGGGAAGAAAAATTACTTTTACATGGAAAAAAAAAAATGTGGAAAAAATGCTTTCCACAGCTCTATGAATTCCTGTCCTTCATGGTAGAGGGGAAATGGAAGGGGCTTGAAAACAAAATTGTTATAGAGTGATACATAAAATTCGTTGCCAAGAGGGGGGGGGGTGTCACATTAACCCATTCTCCCCTACTGTACATTTTACATATACTGTGTTTATGATCACGACATATTGAATTACTATCGCCATATAATTTGAACATGAGCTTAGAGATCAAACGTGAGGTTTTCAAGTCGCTTAAGATGAGTGCCGACATAAAAAATAAAAAAACACAAGCCAAACTAATAAATTGGACCATACCTGAGAAACACCAGCAGGCGGCAGCAGCATCACATTTTCAGAAGTTCTGTTAATCATTCGGTGAACCGTGAAAGCGATCGTCATCTGTTTCTACACTCTCAGAAATGAAGATACAGCTGTCACTGGGGGGTACACATTTGTACTTGAAGGGTCCATACTAGTACCTCAAAAGTATATATTAGTACCTACAAATTTTTAGACGGGTCACCAACCCTGTTCCTGTAGTGCTACCTTCCTGCACATTTCAGTTGCAACCCTGACCAAACACACCTGTTTGTAATTATCAAGTGCTGCTTCGGGTACTATTAATTGGTTTAGGTGTGTTTGATCAGGGTTTTGACTGAATTCTGCAGGAAGGTAGCTCTCCAGGAACAGGGTTGGTGACCCCTGTTTTAAGAGAATCACTTTTGTACTTTTTAGGTACTAATTTGTACCCTTAAGGTATTAATATGAACCTTTTAGGTACAAATGTGTACCTTTTGAAAAGGTACCACCCCAGTCACAGCTTCTGTACCTTTATTTCTGAGAGTGTATTGTGATAAAAAATAATAAATAACGGAACATTTTCATATTTTTTTTCCTCAATATAAAAGCTGACTGCACTAATATGTATAACATGTCAATAATAAACCCAGTGCAGAGAGAATCCATTGTTATTTAATAATGTTTTGTAGTCAAATGCGGATTTCACAAACAAATTATACATTATTATTATTATAGTATTATTATAATTGGTTTTAATATGAACTTACTGAGATACAAGTTTAAATATTTTTTTATATCAGTCTGACGGTTGCGTTTATGGCTGGATTTTATTTAAACAGTCATGTTTTTTTGTTCTTCAAAATCCAAATAAACTATTATTTATTTGCAGTAGTGTATGAATGGTTAATATATTTATAGCTGAGAAAAAAGCCATAATCACTTAAAATAAAATATGAAAATTATGACTGGTACTTATATTAAAACTAATTGAATTGAATCTGAATGTTATATGGATTTCAAATACAATAAGAATGTATCTGAAGTCATAAATATTGTGTAAATATTAGATCAGATGGCATATTTTGTCACAATCCATATTAGTCAGTTTAAAAATAAATGAACAATATAATACAAAATGTCAAAAAATAATTGTAAAAATGCATTTAGCTAATTTTATTAAGATAAATGTTAAATGATTCGACAAATGTGCCATCAAGATTTCTTTTTTATGATTAACTGTGTAAAAACTACACACATTGTTGAAGTCTGAGTAAAGTTACACTGACTCTTTCACAGTCTTGAGTTTTTACAATGCAATCTCACGGCAATTCGTAACATTTTGATTTAGTGGCTAATTCGTATAATTTAGTACAATTTGCTCATCACCCAACGACAGTTGGGTTTAGGGGTGGGATTAGGTGCCACACCTCCTTTTTAAAATTGTACAATTTCATACTACTGAACTCGTACGAATTCGTACAAATTAGCCACTAAACTGCCAAAACGTAAAATACGTACATTTCCGTATCGAAAAGCATTTTCTAAAGTCTACACAAGTACAATTAATTGTCTTGTCTTCTACAGTAAAAAAAGACGTGTTTTTTTTCTTAAAACTAGCAAATTTATGCTATTTTAAAGTAAAACCTAAATTATTTTACGTAGTTCCTCCTTGTCAGATTATTTGTCTCATTTTTAAGGAAAAATTCACTTAATTTTGACTCATTATTTCTGAAAACAAGATAATATTGTCTAGAAAATGCAAATTACACAGTATTTTACTATAATATAAACTATATTTCACTGTAGGACCGTTCTACGGCATGTTAATGTATTTTAAAGTCACGTTGTGAAAATTACTATACATGTTGCAGTAAATATACACATGTAATTCTGTAAATACATATACAGCCAGATAAAGGTGCTGTAAGAGTAAATACAGTATTTTTACTGTATCTTAAAGTAGCGCAAGCTCTGTGATTGGTCGGCTTGGTGATTGGTCGGCTCGGTCTGGGCGTGACCGAGCCCAATGGAGCGATTGTTTACAAGTGTTGAGTCCCGGGAAGGAGCTCCGGATGGAAAGTTTTGTTACACGTTCGCCGGTTCCTGCCTTAAAATGAGCAGGTTTGAGCCACTTGTACATTAAGGAAGCGTTCAGAAAAAAACAAAACACCAGCGAAGAAACTCAACACAGAGGAACATAAACAGCTCACTGCCAACTAGCGTTTCGGAAGTGTTATTGCAGAGCAACAGAGACAGCGCGCAGAAGTATAAATGCACGGCTACGCGCGCCGTGGGTCACGCCGATCACTTGACGCAGAAGTATAAACCAGGCTTAAATCTCAAAAACATCTGTATTTTATTTAGCAAGTGTACTTAGTCAACTTTAATAGGTAAAACTGTCTGAGATATAAACAAAAGCAAGTGATGCATCAAAGTTTGATTTAAAAAAATCTTGAATGGTTATAAAAATCCTTAAAATCATTAAAATAATTTATAAAAACAATAAAAATAATCAGCTTAAAAATACTGAATGATATTAATAATGTGAAGTAGTTCTGGAAACTTCCTACTTCTCCGTTTATCCGTCTGATTTTACGGTGGGTTTCTTTTGAGCGCCCCCTGTCGTTTTAAAGAATATTACAAAGGCGAACGCGGCGAGAATAAAAGTCTCATCTGTTTCGTGAGGTGCGCACGCAGTCAGCGGAGGTGCACGATGTGGCGCCAGCCTAAAGTAAAAATCCAGCTTCAGCAGTGACGTGTCCATCTAGCTCAAGTGAAATGGCGTGATATTGCAGACCAAACCCAGCCTGATCTTACAAGGAAACGTAAGTATTTAGCATTTTGTCAGTTTAGTGGCTAATTCCTACAAATTGTACGATTTTAAAAAGGAGGCGTGGCAACCAAACCCCACCCCTAATCCCAACTGTCATTGGGTGATGAGCAAATCGCACTAAATTGTACGAATGAGATAATATGAATTCATACAAATTAGCCACTAAATCAAAAAGTGTGGGTTTCTTTTGAGCGCCCCCTATCGTT